CTGCACTTGACGCACGCAAACTTGGGAGCTCCCGCAGTGGAGAGGCTCTCCAGATGAATGCAGGGGACGCACACAGGGCAGGTCCCAAGTATGGAACGCAGAACCAGACTTGCAAACAGACCACTATGGGTTTTGGAGGGCCCCATTGATCAGGAAAACTTGACGCTTTTTGCGACAGCTCTCCACTCCATACGATGCAAGCATCATCATCCACTTTCTCCAGCGGATGGATGTACTTAACGATTCTTTACTGTAAATCACTATCCACTTGTATTTGCTTCTACCAGACCCTGGTGCTTTTTAATTGGGGAGTCTATTGCTTGTTTGCACCCAAGGTGAAGAAGACGAAGATCCAAAAGCATTTTCACATCACCGACGGAGGTGGCGGGTGGGTGGAAGCTGCTCGAGTGCTGGGAGGGGCTTCTCTGGTGAGGTGTTCTTGCATGGGCATAGCCACATAGCCTCCAAGATCTCCGGAAGAGCTTTTTCAGATGAGAGCAGGCCGCTTGAGGCCGGCAGCCCGACTCATTCAGCAGGAAGGCCTGAAGTAATCCGTAGTCCCTGACCTTCAGTAGATGAACTTTTGAACCATATATTGTCCCAGTATCCATCTCTCTTCCGATATGAACATGTGACAGGCCCACCAGATGGCAATTCCGTGCGGTCCACGGTCGCCAGATGGCCGGCAATTCGTGGAGCTGCCACCGGATCACCCTCGCCGCATCGAGGCGCGACGACGTTGGAAGAGGGGAACGGAGAACCACTGGGGGGGTTCGGCTGTAGAGGTGAGGTAGGTTAGCTAGGTAGCTGGTGGCTTAAGTAGCTACTAGTATGGACGCAGGATAGCTCACGCATTGATGATTTTGTTACTAGATGTTACTAGTTTTTTGGGGGAACTTAACATTAAGGTAAGGAAGATTCGGTGCAGGATTTCATCAACAGCAGAAGTGGGTCAGCGGAGTGCATTGGAGAAGGGTATTCGGGTGATTCTACTTTTCTTCTCAGCCAGACTCCGATGGACGATGCAGACTTGTAGTCGAGCTTTGGAGGTGTTTTTCCAGCACAATTCAACGGAATGTCCAAAATGATGTCCAATGGCTTTCAAGACTGGAATTCGAAGCCATCACTGCTAAGCCTTTTGTTGGGGGGAAGCCTGATCAACATCAACCTGGGAGTCTAGGAGACAGCCCTGAAAAAGAATCCAAACACATCCTTTCATCCAAATCTTGCCTTTGATCCAGGGAACGGCTCCCATCCCCAGAACCGCCCAGTTCGCCGCAGTGGCCCGTAGTAGGGTCCCATTCATTCCAGTACGACTTTGAAGGGTGCTGTTCAAGGACCAGGATAGCATAAATGTGTACATATGAGTCATATGAGTGAGAATGGACTCCTATGATATCAATTTTCCACTCACTTTGCCTCTCAGAACCTGAACTTGGCTCGTACAGGTCGTTCTTTCTCCAAGCTGCAAATGGGTTGGCACACTGGAGGTGGTTCTTGAGTACAGATCATCAGATCATCCAAGTTCACGCAAGTTGCAATATGTGGCGTCAACGGAGGCTTTGCCCAACTTCACCACATCCTCATCGTTTCTTATCGTTTTCATAGAACATTGTCATCTTTTTCACACCGTTGTCATCAGGCTCACAAACGTATTATCATCGGCTCCACAACATATAGCATATATCAGACCTTGGCAGAAGATCAATGCCAGAGCTTGTCATGCTGCCAAACTCAACGTCTTGGATTTCATGAATTCCAAGACAATAATGCCACTCCAAAACACAAACACACACTGAAACACGCATGATTTTTAAGCCCTTGGCATGTTGCTTGCCGGGCAAGCCCCCCCTGTTTACCCAATATGTTGCAATACCTTCCAGCATCGCTAGAGAGGTCTTCACCGCTCTCAGTCGAGTCCAGAAATTGGGTCCAAGCTCGGGCTCTGCAGGAAGCTGCACAGCGCCCTGAAGACGAGGCCAAGTGGCAGATGGGCGGTGAAGTTCTCTCCTTCTCTCCTCCCATGGTGGAGGATGGATGATGCTGGTGTGTCATTCAGGTGATGTTCGTGGGCTTGGATGACACAAGGTTATTGCCATCACCGTCGCCATGTCATTATTTCACCATCAAGTTGAATTGTGATGACGAAGCCCACCTTCACTTACGACTCAAAACATCACCAGATCACAAAGAAGTGTGAAGCTTTGCCTGCGCCAAACGAGACTTCTCGGTCGTTTTGTGCAGAGTTTGAGCTCATTCAGGATGAATTCAGGTTTGAAGGTCCCCCGTTTTGCGGATTTCCCCGTGAAAAGAGTGGATGGGTCTTCCAACAATTGTACCTTCGCTAGAACCACAGGGGATCATTGCGAAAGGTAGGCCACTTCAGCCCACACAAACAGGACATGCGGGAAGAGCCAAAGGAGGAGCCCAAGGAGGAACCACGGGAGGATGCGCGAGAGAACGAGGTGCCGTGGGAGGATGCGGCGCCGAGTCCGGATAGGTGGGCAGCGTCAGAGGTATGTGCGTCTTAAAGACCAAGATGTCTGGTTACTTCGCAACGTACACCGCGAGGCTTTTGATGGAGCATGGAGTTTCTGCAAAAAGACAGGGCACCTTGCGTTCGGATTTTCTACCTCAAGAGTCCTCCAGTGACCGCCTTCCTTTGAGACTCCCCCAGAAAGGTGCGGAGGTCCCCACTTTCAAAGAGAAGTCAGATGGGAAGCCCAACGATTTGTAGTGAGAGCATGTGAGAGCTGAGTCCATGTCCAGAAAAAGAGTCTCTGATGAGAGCTTGGCAATGGAAACTGACACTTCTCAAGTAGCAGGTGCGCTAGCATCAACATCTGGTGCCAGGATTATCTCGACGACTTCCCGGAGCCGCTCGAAGAGGCGCGAAGAATGTCACGTCGCGTCACGGGTGCGTCGTCCGCGTCACCGGAGCTCGAGACGCCCAGGCTCGGGAGGTGAACGAAGAGGATGTCGACCCCAATGAGCCAGCCATTCCCCTGGGCAAAGGGCCTCTTGGTCATATTCAGGATGGCTCGAAGTGGGTCTTCTTGCAGGGCTTGGCTTCTTAGGCAATTCCCTGTGTCTTGCGACTGGAAATCCTGGCATATCTTCAACTTCCCACCTTGACGCGTCAGCTGTCAGGCGCCAGACGTTGCAAGACGAGAGGGACTGGAGATTGGAGGGATAATCGGAGTGCAAAGGCGCTTGTACTGGTTCTTTTCACGAAGTAGTGAAGGAGTATATATAGTCATTCAATGGTTTTCTCCAATGGTTCTTCAAGTGTTCTTGGGTGGAGATTTATTCTCTCATTTCGGTCACCATGCCAATCGGCCCGCACTGATAGAAACAAAGACCCGGAACATCCGCTGTGTTCATTCGCTTTCCACGTCGGAGAGCTGGCGAATCTGTGACGGTCTGAGCAGTTTTGTTTGGTCCATACAGGTTGGTTTGTCATGCCCAACTAGTTGTATAGACCCCCAAATAGATAGAACATAGATCCCCAATGATCCCCACCAAGAATGCATTGGAAAGCGTTTGTATCTATTTGGGTACCACAAAGGAGTGTTTTGCTTTGAAGAGTTGTGCACCATCCAGCCTGGTGAAATCGGTTAGGCCTCTCCAAAAAATTCTCTCCAAGAAATGACTCCATAATAGACTGACAACGAGATCCAGTCTTAAAAATTGTTATTTGAAGATATTTGGCGTGGTTTCTTTATGTTTCTTTCTACCTGGGGATCTGCACCTGCAGGTCCCTCTGATTCAAAAAAGTCGCGCGGCCTTGACTCGATTCCGCTGCGAGGTTGCATCCTTTGGGCGTGATCCGGGACTACGATGCCAAGAAGGGCTATGGCTTTATCCGCTGTAAGGGCTTAGCTGAGGAGCCTTCTTGGGTGAGTGTGAGTGTGGGAAAGGTGGCTTCCGGCGGATCCAGATTGGTGGAAGCGTGAGATTAGCACTCTTCAATGAGGCAGTTTCCTTTCCGCTACTAGGGGCTCCTGGCATCGTTACTAGGAGCAAGGACGCTACTAGGGGCTCCTGGCCGTACTACTAGGAGCAATGTTCGCTTTCCCGAACCCGGGTGGGGATGGAACCGTGGAGGTCTGACACTTGACAATTATGGCTGACTGAGTCCTTTTGCTGCGCGGCAAGGATGCTTGATTCAGAGACAGGATCCTGCTTTTGGTATTTGCCGACTCAAATATGTTGGTCAACAGAGTCAACGGCTCACCTGGATATGGCATCGGCAGTCATTTTCACACTCCCTGGCAGGATGTGTTCTTTCCAAGGAAGGCACTGCCGACCTCATTTCAAGGGCAGAGTACTCGAGATGTGGCTCGGCCAAAGTCTTCGTTCAAGTTACACAGGTTGTGGGTTTCAGCGTGTTGGTTCGGTTGGTTGGGTGGGATGTTGGATTCTTCAATTAGTCAGCATTATGTCCTCACCTAAGTCAAACATCTCGCTAGATGTTGCGGTGAGCAGCTTCATCAAGAGCTATGAATGATGCGAAAATTGCCAAAATCTGGGGCCAAGACTTCAACTGCCATTTGAGATGCGCTACTGTATCTTGAATGTTCATCCAAACAGCTTCTCGTTCACCCCTAGCTCAAAGCAATGCTGTATCCCTTGGTGCCCACCAAGGCCGCAAGGATTCCCCACGATGGCTCTTTAGGAGTCAAGTTACCTCGTATGGGTCAAACTTGAAACCCAAGGCCTCATGTAGGCCAGTGATGGTACACTTGATTAATTTCTGGGTTGTTAAACACACCCATCACATCTCATCACCCAACCTCTCGCAATCGATTTGGCACATTTCCATCTATCACATCTATCAGATCACCCCAGGTTGGGTGCCTTTCCCAGGGCCCAACAAAAGCCAACCGTGTGACACAATTCTGACGCTTCGTCTCACTGCTTGGCCCTTTCTTCCGCCGCGGTTCAAACGCGTCGGGACACCGCGCGTTCCCACAGCGTGGATCCTTGGGGCTCTGGCGATGCCGGAGGAGGAACTCTTGGCACAGGACGGGCTCTTGCGCTGTGTGGGGAAGCTTGGAATCACAGAGTGGCATGAAGTGGGTCTAACTTCAGTATTGCAAGAGATGGACCCCCAGTGATGATCTTCTAGGAGTTATTCTTCAACATCATTGTCCATCCACACCCTCTACAACCAGAAGTGGGTCAATCCCCACACTCCCCCCTACTCCAAGCTGGATCCCCCCACGCTCCCGATCTAACAAAGATGAAGATCCACTCCATGCTGCTTCCCTCGGTCTCGCCGTCAACAGCCCTGAGAGCTGCATTTCACCGAGGAATCTGAAATCCAACCTACAAACTTGGAGCTGTGAGGAACGTGTTCGTGCCTTGGAACGGCAAACCGAGGCGGCTCAGGCACAGCAAAAGGTGAACGCTTTGAGTGCCGCCTTGCGGAAGGCGTGGAACTCGCCGTGTTTTGGGCACGAAGATTAGAGAAGTGATGAGAAGTGAGAGATGGATTTTCTTATAATTTCTTGTTTGCGTTCTTCATTTGGGGGGGAGGAGGAAGGGTTTATTTGTTTTTTTGGTTGGGGAGGGAGCGTTGGGTTAATTTGTGGCCTATACGAATGTTTGGGTGATCCGCAGTGAATCACCCGATTTCACATGATTTCACAGCTTTTGACTGTCGAGAAAAAGCAGCAAACTCCTCACCTCTCTTGAATAGATCCAATCGGACGATCCGTGACGTGTTCTTTTTTCCATCCACTCCTGGAGTTTTGATCCCCTGCGGCTTTTTCTTTGACAATTCGTCTTTTGTGAGGCGGAGGTCTTGGAGGAGAGCTGGGAGAAGGGAGTGTCTTCTTTGCTTCAGCAGGCCAAGGAACAGCGAGCAGAGCTCGTGAAGGTGGTTGATTTGCTCAAAGCTCCCTTGAAGGAGTCCGGCCTATCAGGCCTAAGTGAGAGTGGGGACTTGTCCAGCTTGCCGGAGCTGGTGAAAAAAGCTTTAGGGCAGATGGACTCCAAAAAGAAGGAGAAAGTCAAGGAGAAGTCGAAATCGGAGAAAGAGCAGTCAGAAAAAGAGGAAGAGGAGGAGGAGAAAGAGGAGTCGGAGAAAGAGGAGAAGGAGAAGGACAAGAAGAAGAAAGGCAAGAAGAAAGAAGAGAAGGAGGAGAAAGAAGAGAAGAACGAGAAGAAAGGATCACGCAAAGAGGCCAAAGAGGGGAAAGATCGAAAAAAGCGAAGAAGGTCGCGCAAGGAACGTGGATCCGATGCCTCGGACTCTTATAGCTACTCGAGGACGCCTTCACCTCGACGCAGGAGGAAGAGAAGACGTCGGAGAAGGCGAAGACCCAGTCCAAGCTACTCCAGGTCATACAGTTTCCTGGACCCCACACATTGCTTTGGTCCACTGCCCTCGTGCCCCTGGTGATTTGGGGTATTCTTTGGGGGCGACCCGAATGGGAGACTGGCCAGCTTCACCCACCGGTGGAAGAACACTGGGATTGGTGGTCTTTCGAGCTTGGAAGATTCTTCAATGAATGGGTAAAAAAGCATCAAACAACAGAATATAAATACAAATCTTTCTATCCAAGCCCGAGATTTGGATCCGACCACCTTCGTTGGTGCATGTGTGGTGTTTGGAGCATGGTGAGATCTGGATAGATATGACATGAACAAAGCAAGGGGAACAGCTCATCAGGACCCATAGAGACCCTAGATGGTTCGCCCCAAATTCAATGGTCTCTTGGAGACATTACCATGTTTCATCACAACGGCCATGGGCTCCCAAGTTGCTTTTTGGATATCTGACCCTCAGCACATCAAGTGCGCTTTTGGACCCGGATAGTGGTTCTACAATGTTTTGCATACGCATATCAATTGGGCAATTTTGTTTCGGAAAAGGGCGATGGCACACCTTCATGGGAGCACCACCACCATAAAATACAAGTTGCATGACCTTCATGATTCACCCCCCACCCATCGCATTTTTGCGGTGTGCCGGGGAACCTGAGGTTATACGCCGTCAAAGGAACGGCGCAAGGGCACGCGGCGCAAGGGAACCAAGCGCCGCAGTGGTGGCCGAGACCGCGGCGGAGCTTCCGCGTTGGACGTGGGGTCGGAGATCTCGCGCTTTGTGAAGGTGAACAAGCTTGAAGAACGCTGTGAGAAGATTTTGAGGGATCTGGATGCCAAACTGGCCTTCCAGGTGGGGGAGGGGTGGAAGAAGGCAAAGGAACGAAACAACATCCTTTAGGTTCGGAGGGATCAAATGAACGAGGAATCATTACAGTTTCTCCTATTCTCCTATTTAGACGGCCACTCCTGCTGTTGAAGGACGAAACCATGCACCTCGGACAGAGGATGTCCCGCTATGATCCGCCATGTATTTGTAAGGGTTTTTGGGTGAGGCAGGTGCCTTTAATCCATCAACAGTAGGCCCAAGTGACCAAGTTCAAACCTGTGTGGACCCGAGCTCCCTGAGCCTTTCATCCAATTTGCCAATTAAAAAACACCTCCAACTCCATCCATGATTCAGAATCTAACTTGATACTAGTAACAAGAAGCTACTAGGGGCTCCTGGCCTTACTACTAGGAGCAAGGACGCTACTAGGGGCTCCTGGCATCGCTAGTAGTAACAAGAAGCTGTTCATCCTCCCCCCCAACCGCCTCTGCTCACCCGAAACTGCCTCCCGTCCAGGTTATGGGCGTCAGCGGCGGCGGAGGGCGAGGCTTCACCTTCGAGCTCAGTGGCGACGTCCGCGACCCCACAGCGGTGGTCCTCGCACGCATCCGTAAGGCGGTGGTGTGAAGGGAGGGTGTGTAAGTGGCCGGGGCGGGAGCCGGGGGCAGTGGGGGGAGAAGGAGGTGGGAGGTGGTTTGCTTGGGATGGGGTTGGTTGGTTGGTGGGTTGGTCGGTTGGTTGGTTGCTTGGTTGGTACGACCACAATCTGTGGCTACCTACCAAACTCTATCTATATAAAGCTGACTTCCAGAATCTCTCCGGTCAGATCTTGGAGTTGGGACCATCTCCTGACCATCCATCTATGGAATAGTAAAATAGTGACATATATATATATACATACATTATAGATAGTACATTTACAATCATTTACATACATTTACCCCATTTATGACCCTAACCCAGACACTCCCTGTATTGCATATTTACCTACATCCGCCACACAATGTATGTAAATAGCATGGAGTTTTTGGGTAATGCCTAGGACATCCCCACGCTACTAGGGGCTCCTAGCCCTACTACTAGTAACAAGAAGCTACTAGGAACAAGTGCATCGCTTCTAGTAACAAGTGCCTTACTACTAGGAGCAAGAGGACGCTGCTAGGAGCTCCCCAAACGACTGGAGTCTTCACGTCGCCGCAGCTCGGTCCAGGTGCAGTTCGCGCGGGACGTGGCGCCCAAGCGGAAGCGTTCGCGCTCCCGGAGGCGCTCCAGCTCCAGCCGGTGACATGGTCAAAGGATGAAGCAGCTGAACCTAATAGCAATGGCTCTCCAACCCTAGCGATGGCCATGAAGCAGTATGAAGCAGTTGTTGTTGGTTCACGACGTGTTTTTTGGGAGGTGAATCAGGCATCATCAGGCCAACTTCCTGTGTGGATGGCGGTTTGTGGTTGGTGTGGTGTTTATCTTGACTTTACATAGCTCTTTGTGACCCCTTCAAGCTTTGAGGGCTCCCTTGTTTTGAGGAAGTATTTAAGGTTTCCTACCGGAATGGCGAATCCAATGAAGTCAGGTTGCTTTCGAGCGAGATGGTCGCATTGACTATTTGCAGAGAGGATTGCAGGATTATTGTTTCTCCACATCCCCTGATCAGCCAAGGTGACAGCTCGGAGTATGATGGGCAGAGGAAAAAGGATCTGCCAGACTCACCGTGTCACCGGCCGAGGATTTTTCCGGAGCATATGATAGAACAGGAATCTCCTTTGAAGGATGTAGTGAAGAGTATTTGGATCTACTATAGTGACTATTAAATTATATAGTAGTATTTGGCGCAATTATTTGGCGCGATTTGAGGGTCTCACAAAACCGATCGTTTCTCATCTTTTCCCACCTTGGTGCGGATTCCTATCTCTTCCTTCTGAACATTTTGTTTGGGGTTTTGTAACGAGCCAGAGGGCCATGGGCAGCCCAATCACTTGCACATGACACCAACGATCACCAACGCAGACGATGAACGAATCAATTACACATACCCCACAGCCACCCGAGCACCTGTTTTCTAGGAACGCAGCTTAACACCAATTCGGTACGATGCTCGTGTGGTTTGGGTTTCCAAGTGTGCTGGCACACCCCTTATACGAAGGACGCCTTAAGGCCTTGGATCCGCCATCTCGTACCCCACGATCTCCAGAGATGCCCACCGACATCCGGAAGCATTCTAACTACCCCAGCCGAGTGATTCGCTCAGATGCCGGAGCTGAAGGGGGTTCAGGTGAGCTTCGAGTACAATCCCAGGTGAGGACTCGACGTCCGAGAGCCGAAATGCACTTGGCCATGGACACCACGGTTGTTCTTTCATGTTCTTTCTTCTGGAGTTTTCTTTGATTATCAAACACCAGGATATATTCCAGGATATATTGGGTGGATCAGTTCATGTTGGTTCAGGAGTTGTGAGATGTTGTGAGTGACTTTGAGAACTGAAAGAGCTCAATTGGGAAACCCAAAAGGTTTCAAAGGTATCTGAATGCGCAACTAAAAAGGGCTGGAAAATTCTACACGATGTCATTCAACGGCTGATTGCGATAAGGGTCTTGGCTGATAGGCCCTGATAGGCTGCCGAAGAGGGTCACCTGCCAGCGCCACCCACTGCACACCCACTTCGCATGCCCAAGCTTCCCTTGCCAGCTGAAGGAATTCGATGCCAGGAATTCCGTTGAAGGAAGAAATCCCGAAGGAAGAATTCCATCGGCATTTCCGACATCACTGGAGTTCCAGGTTTTGCTTGGGTGTCTCCATAAGTTCACTACCCCGATTTGCCAATTCTAGCTTCACCCAGCTTGTCATCCGGCTGTTCAACCGAGCTCCCCTCCCCAGTGTCCCCTCACTCTCTGCGTGGCTCGGCTCCTCGTCTCGTGCAGTGGGGGCCGTGGACCCCGATCCGACTCGGTGCAGCTGCTCCTGCGGTGGTTGGCCACTGATAGGCGGAAGATCGTGGGAGTCGGAGATCGGAGAGGGCGATCCAACATCCAACCGGTGGGAGAGATCGTGTGTCCAAAGCTGAAAGGATAGATTGAACAGGTAATGAGTATGATGGAAATCGATGGAAGGACACGAGACTGCATGCTTATTGGGCAGAGAAGCAGGTAGGGTTCACAAGTTCAGAGACTCAGGAATACGTCTACATAAGCAAACCGAAACATCTGGGAGGATCTCATGATTGATGCGCTCCTCTACCCGCCTCTACCGTTGGTCCGGAGCATCTAACATACGGAACATGTATTCAATGAACACGTGTTAACATGTAAGTTATATAGTAATATATTATATAGTTATTTCAGTGTTGAGGACATTGGTTCGCCCCCATGCTAACTTGGGGTGATAGTTGGTGACTAGCCAGCCCGGTCGCGCCCAATGGAAGCTCAGTAACCAACATGAATAATCAAGGACATACTGTGCGTCGCACAAATTTCTGCTTGCACATGCTACTCACAAGCCACTCAGCTTTCTGTCTTTCCTACTGATCCGTTTTTGTGGCAAGATCCATTCTCGCCTTTGAAAGCCTTTCATCTCGAACCCCTTCCTTCAATCCATATGGGCCCAAGCAGCCATGCAAGTCCTGGTGTTTCATCGGCAACCGCTTCTCCAGGTGTTGGTTGTTGAAGAGAGCCCAGATCCCTCCGAAAGAAACGAAGCCCTGAGAGCATTTATGGTGTGCGGACTGCTCGAGCCGACCCGAAAAAATGGCACGGCTTCGAGCCGAGCCAAGAGGGCCAGGCAGCACCAGGGAGGGGGCCAGGGAGGGCTGACGGAGAAGTTCCTTTGAGAGTGTTCTGAATTCTTAGGCTTCCTTCGGTGGCGCTTGGTATTTCCAACAACGCGAGGGAGCCTTCAAGATATAGTTGGGTGATACAGTCATTGGTTCAGAAAGCAGGTATTGGTTGCACAATGGGTATTGAGAATCAGAGTTTCCACAACAATGGTGCTTGGCGATTGGTGGTGGATGGTGGACATACATCAATGGTGGACATACATCAATTACATACATTTGTGGTGCTTCAGTGTTGGCCATTCCACAGATCTCAGTCCATGCATTTACGTCAGCAGCCATGAAAAGAACCCATGTTTGTTTTGGTTGGGAAACGATTCTGTTCGTCATATTTCAACTAGATCAGAATGCCTTACCAACCTTTGCCACTCTGGGTCGAGCCAGTCACTGTCCTAGCATCAGGTCAGAAATAAGGAACCGTATCCAGAAAATGTTGCTTTGACGTGAGACCTCACATTCAAGCCACCCACACCTCTTCCGGAAGTGGAAGCTTCTAGACTAAGCTTCTGCCGCGACATGGCTGTTAGGTCCTGGATCTACAGAGTTTCCAAACGGCCCAGTGACCATCTGCAACCCCTCGATTTTGCAACGATGGGTCCGTGAACTACCAGAAGGGTCCTATCAGCACCAGTCTTTCAGCATTTCCGCGTGTCCGTGGCACCCGGCTGAACCGCCCTACATGGACAGGCACTCGAGTCAGACGGTTGGCAAAGGGGGTGACTGAGAGGGAATCCGTGAGAGGGGATTGCGGCAAGTCAGGAAAATTCTCCTCCGGGACTTACGATGTCCACCATACCAGTAACAGGGAAGTCGTGGGCGTTTCGGGGCTCCTTCACTCATGTTTGAGCACTTTCCTGTGTGAAGTGAAGGGACTTGTTTCCTGTTCGTATTGCTGGTTGAATGATGCTATAAACACCCCACACTTTTGTGTGCAACTGTCGTGTACATATGATGCCAAAGATCTCAAGCGAGAGAGAAGGTAATTCATAGGCCATAGGCTTCAATTGGAGGATGCAAAGTCAGGGGACCAGGAACACGACCATTGGGCTTGGCACAGGCGCAGATGGCATCGCGAGCATGGCGAGCGCCAGTCCAGCTGCTCGAAGCGCACAAGTGGGCGTTGAACGTCAGTCACACCTGTTAAGGTGGCCATATCATGAAGAGACACATAATCAACTACACAATGATCATTGTTTCTTCTTAAGATCTCTCAAGCACAACCATAACAAGACAGATAAGATATCAGATCCGGCCTCAATGGCTTGAACCAAGCTTTTGACAAAAACGAAAAGGTTATAAGTTATAAGTACAATTTCATCCAGTTTTCTCCTTCGGTATCAACTTCCGACACGTTGTTCTGAACTTCCGCCTCCACGAAGTGGAGCGGCTGATGTTGAGCCAGACACTCCATGAGACTGCCATGTATGCCTACATTGACTCCCCAAACCGCCCCAGGGTTTGGCAAATATGGCATACATGGAGTGTCTGGGTAAGCCGAACAGGCCTTGTCGAAGCAAACTGTTTCCCTCAGATGTCATGCTTGTCAAAGCTGCCAAACGAACGGAGACTTTGCTTTATTCGACCTGAAAGGGGGGGTACGGCGTGCAGTGGGTGAGTTGACACGGCCCAATCCTGGGCGTCCCATATTCTCGTGGTGTGCTCGTGTACTGTAGGAAAGAGACCATATATATGGAGGTGGAACATGTCTCCAGATCTTCCAATTCCATGTTGGCGAGTCGGAGTGTAGAAATTGCTGAAACCGTCGAAACCGCTGAAACCGCTCGTGGGCATGCAGCCACCAGCCAGGAGTTGTTGGTGCTGCGGGTGAATCAGTTGGATGCCAGGAGATCCCACGGTTGCACGCGCGGGTGGATTTGTCAAGACTTTTTTGGGAGGACCAGACACTGTTTGCACGGAAGGAATACCGTAGATCTGCCTACCTTGGCAACTTGGGGTGGATTCATGAGTTGTAATTAGACAACTTTTAAACATATGGAGTTGGGAATAGGATGAGCATCGACCCCGAATGAAGAACAGGAGGGCTTGGTGACGAGTGTTGCCATGCCTCATGTTCAGAGGCAAAATGAGGCGCATGCCAGCTTCCTTATTGGCACATCATCATGTTGTGCCATGGTCATCGCAGAATGCTGCAATTCTTGAAATTCTTAACTTATCCACATGTGATCTCTCCATGCCACTATATACTTGTACTGTACCAGACTTGAAACTCGCCGCCTAAGACGTAACATTGCTATCTCTTTTCAGCTGTACATGTCACCAGCTAAAGCAGGTAGAACCTCTGACCTTGCATCCTCAACCGCCGAGCTTTATCAGGCGATTGGATGGAGAGATTACCTCTATCCTCAGGTGGAGAAGACTTTGTTTGTTTTTTCTGCGGGTCAAAACGGAGCTTGGAAAGAAAATGGTGATGAGTCGAAGCCATAGCCCCCGAATCATCATTTGGCTTGCTCTGGTGGTGATGAGATGTGGTGGGGTACTGGTGCTTTGGTGCACTTGGGAACTTACTTTCAATCGGCTCACTGACTGCGGAGTTGACTTGGTGAAAGAAGGAGCAAGATAGTTGTCGGGAGTTGAACCCTCTTCTTGGTTTTTTGAGGCTTGGAAACTGGAGCATTCCGTCCGTCAACTTGGTGGATACATTGTCAAGACAGAACTGTCTTTGCTATGTTAGTTTCAGAATGTTTGGGGAAGCATTTTCTCATCTTATCCTTAGAAGCCTTGGATTTCGTCCGTTCCCGGAAGGCAGCAGCTGCTTGATGCAATTCTTACAGATCCATGGCCCACCTGTCTCGTTTGGAGCTTCAAGGACCCGCCACTGGGAGGATCAGATGTTTGCCTGATAGCTTGTGACCCAAATCCATGGGACAATGGTCGTAGAATAGTACAATCCATTGAAAGAACTGGTCACGTGTGGTTCCAGATTCGTGGAGAGCGGGTGAAGACGAACATTGCTACATTTGGCCAAGATCACTACAACCTTTCAGCTCTAAGAAGCGTTCTGAGTTCGCTGAGTCATTACGGATGGCATCTAAACTTCACTATAGGGTTCAATCTTGTTCAATTGCTTTTGCAGATTGAACGACACTTTGACTCAACATCTAAGTGGATCGGGGGAACAACTTGTTGGTAGACCCCCTTGCCCCCTTTCTTGAACCGTTTGGACCGTCACCCCTGGAATCCTTCGTGGCTTTTCTTCCTCGCTGTCGAGGGCGCGCGTCGCACGCCGTGCGTAACGTCGCCAGGCCGCTGGAACGCTTCGCACCGGAGGTGGACGCAGCGCTGCAAGGGATCTTGTGGAGGTGACGAAACGCCAGGAAACGCCGATCCGACAGAGATTCTTTCGAGAAGCGGCCAACGTAAAGGCCGTAATTCAAGGGGATGGAGCTGCAGTTGTTCTGGATTGCCTGTTCTTATCTTTTCTCCTTTTTTGGGGTGTTCAGTGGAAGCAGACCCTTAGATGCTTCAGAGAGCCCTGTGGCTCTACTTTTGGGGAGGGATCCACGAAAAGGGCGGTCTCAGCATTTTGAGAGACATTCATGTGGCTGTGAGTTTGTGCGGTCGTGACAGGAATGCATGGACGAACCACAGAGGCACTTTTTGAAAGCCCTGAACATAGCGTGTTAAGTTGGTGTTATTTTGTTTTATGCCTTGGACAGTGGGGGCATAGGCATAGGTGAAGATTGCCTAGGTCTGACCTCTTGCTGGTTGAAGGCCTAATTTGTTCTTTTGAGCCATCTACTTCCGTTGAGAATTGTGTGAGTTCAGTCCAGAAGCCGTGAGTTCTTTATCACGACAAAGCGCGTGCGTCCCGTCAGGTACACCATCTGGATTGACGAGCCCACGTGGGGTGCCAAGTGGTGAAGAACGAACCTCTGTGGCACAGGGAGTTTGTCACCAGGTTCGGGCCAAGGATGAGAGCCTGCAATTGAACATTGAAATATATAGACAAGTGCGGACCAAGGGCAAAGATCAAGGTATTCAGTTCAGCACGAGAAGGTTTTCTGCACCATTTAAAGAGAGACCCCAGACGAGGTACGAGGTAGACTTATAGCAAATTAACGAGGCGGTTTAACTTTAACTTGTCTCAGAAACACAAAGTGGAGTCTTGTTGGTGAGTTCGCATGTGAGTTTCGAGGCCAATTAATTAGGTTGGAGGCCATCGCTAGTAGGTTGGAGGCCATCGCTATTGAATTGGGTTCTCGGGCTGCGCTTGCTCACCAAAGCCCACCTTCTCTCACCACACATGTAGTGAACATGGGAAAACACTTTTCGGGCGCCAAAAAGTGTGGTTTCTAGGCAAAGGGCTGACCAACTCACATTGTGAGACCTGAATAGTCATTTTCTGACGAGCTTCTAGACAGGCTGAAGTCGAGCTTAAGTCTTAAGTCTGCGCACAAGCGCCAGGAGTGACGTTGCTTGGCTCGACATCAGCCATCGATCACTCCGACCGTGTTTTTGGGGGAACGCGACCGAGCCATCACCAACCCACAGCGACGGGGCGGCCACACTGGCTGACAGCATGCTCATACGCGCAGCCTAAGCTGGTGTGACACTAGCTGAGCAAGGGTCAAAACCCACCTAATTGTGACATGAAAGAGCCTTGTCATAAGGCTTTCTCGCGTAAGCCAAAGACTGAGTCGCGTAAGCTCGCGTAAGCAGATTTTTCAGATCACATGTTGCGTAAGCATAGTCGAGAAAGTTGAAAACCATGTTTGGAATAGCTGTAGCCTTGATCAGGGAGATGTTGAGTTGCAGTCAAATGCATTTGTTCAAGAGCCAATCTGTTGTTTATTTGCTGGTGGGCCTATCAAGATGCACTGGCCAAAGGTTCACTGGCCAAAGGGCAAGAGAGCATGGCCTATCAACCATCAATGCAACTTTTAGAGAGATGCACGATAATCCGCGTAAGCTGCGCGTAAGCTCCGCGTAAGCTCCGCGTAAGCTCCGCGTAAGCCTACTTTGTGTTTGTGCCCACAATGCCTCCGAAAGCAAAGCGTTTCTCTGAACTGCAATGGCGACAAAGACAGCGCGTCCTGCAAACTATTTCTGAAACCTTCCAAGCGCATTGCCCGTCAGTATCAGAAGCTGAAGCTCTTTTACATGGAATAGTTCGAAGCTCTTTTACATGTGCGAAGAGAAGACGGAAGATGACCCAGCAGCGCACCCCACAGCCTGGTGATCAAGAACTTGATGCCTCTGATTCGTCTTCTTCCTCATCTTCTGCCGACTCGTCTGACAGTTCTTGAGCATAACTTCTGCTTGGAAAACAATTTGCGCGTAAGCTGCCGCTGTGGTGTGGTTAAAGTTGATGTTTCGCGTAAGAGCGCGTAAGCTTCAAATAAGTCCCTTTCCCACGCGTAAGATAAAACCTGGGGCGCGTAAGCATTGCGTGAGTGCATGCGTAAGCAAATCCTTACGACATAGGCCAATTACACGACCTTTTGACCGCCGCTCAGCTGCCTTTCTTGCCTTTCGAAGGAGGCAGTCACTCCGATTGTGCTGGTGCCCATGCTTCAGAAAGGAGATGGAAGGAGCAACTCAAATGCTCATGACAGGCAAAAAGCCGAGTCGCAGTCGTAGGCTGAATCACTCGCGACCGCGACCTCTCCAACCCGTCCGGTCGAAGCCTTTGAGCGGGGAACGACCGGCGGTTCTCGGCCGTTGCTTTGGCTGTTTGGGCCTCAGGCCTGGAGGGCGTCTCCAGAACTTGCGCTACGCGAGGGCGGGAGGCACGGTGCCTTCCGTGGAGAGGAGATAGAAAGGAGCCACACCACTGGGCAGATCCATAATATTCACATGTCAAGGCATGGGGCGTGGGCCACTTGACACATCTACATCAAATGAGAGTCTTAGAAGGTGGTCGACAGCCAAAAGTAAAAGGCCGCGAGTTAAGGTTTCTACACGAATCAAAGCGATAGCAGATGAAGATCCCTGCTCAGCTAATTGACTCCATTGCAAGGATCGATGTTCATTTGCAGGAACAGAGTTGGAGCTAAATGAGTGGCACAACTCTCCTTGGGCATCACGTGGAGCTGTATTTACGGTGTCTTGACAGGTTGTGGTTGATCAAGAAAGTAAGAGTAGGGAGATGCTGTAGGGAGCCTCAATCGGTCTTTTTAAGATGTTTTCAAGTGTGTCCCAAAAGGTGGACTGTTGGGTTCTGGGATGTCAACCAGGCTCCGAAGGGTGTGGACAATGAGTCTTATGAGTCTATGAGCTATGCATAGCTATGCTATCAAGATCTATCAAGCTATGAGTCGATTCCGAAACGCTTGGACCAGGCGCTCAGGCTCCCCCAGTCCGACTGGTGTCACCCGACTCCGATTGGGCGCCAGGTGAGGGGAAGCCCTTGAGCAAGCTTCAGAAGCTGAGCTTCCTCATGCTTTGGGCCTCTTGACGAACGAAGCGACGCTGTTTTGGAGGGCTTGTCTTTGGTCGGGTGGGTTGCTTTCATGAGTTGGTTGGTTTCCATGAATTGCCAACCGGGCCTGTCCGGGTTTGTGTTGCCCTCAAAAGACTGGTTGTTTGGGGCTACTAGGTTGGAGGCCATCGCTATTGGGTTGGAGGGCATAGCTATTTGGTTGGAGGCCCTGCAGGAAACAGTTTCGCAACGGATCAGCGGGCTGTGCAGGTCTTGTTGCCCTGGCTTGGCAAACGCAGCTATGAGCTGCTGCAACGCCTGGAGGCGTGTCTTGGACATGAACCAACAATAATCAGCTGCTGGACAATAGGTGCATCTTGAGCCTCCCTGCAACCCCAGAATATGGATAGTTTTGTATGTGAAAATAATTTAAGAGTATTTTATTTAATATACTTTTAATGTAGCGATGCCCTTTGCTCCTAGTAGCCTCTTGTTCCTAGTAGTATGG